ACGAATCGAACTGAAAACTCTGAATTGATATTATTAAGAAAAATAATTTTTTTATGTAAGAAAGGTGAAAAAATAATATAAAAACATGACGTTTTGTTCAAACACCTCCAAAACATTCATTTTTTAACTATTTCGACAAGAGTTTGGATCATATTCTTAGAAAATATGTTACTATCAATGGAAAAAAAATTAATGATTCAGATCAAAACTACGACCTCCAGGTTGCAGCAAGGGGTCAACTCCAATGGCGATGGTCAATGGTCACCAGCCTCTAACTCCCCAATTCCGCAGGAAATGACTTACCAAAAATTGAAAGTGTAGTTCAAAATATAAATAAACTAGCCTCCAAGTTAAAACAAATTTGAATTATTTTTCTCTTAGAAAAAAAATCACGAAAAACACTCGAATTTCGGCCTCCTAAACTGGTTTCCCTGCTTAAAATCACCTGAATTCTACTGATCTATGTATATCTGACAATTATTAACAAACGGACTGGATAACGAACAGGTGTTTCGCATAAATTGGAGACTCAGGTGATGGTAGGTTATATAAACCTGTTAATATATACAAATAACGGGAAACGATAACTTTATACCAAGGAATTCGAACTCATTAAATTCTTGAAAATTTGGACTTTATAAATATTTAATTTATTTCTTTAATTTTATTAACGAGCAGGCACTAACTAGTTCATAAATTAAATTGGAAAAAATACACACCAAGCAATATTTTTATTTTTTAGCACAATAAAATTTGTAATTCCCAAACGGTTATAAACCCAAAATTCTAAAAGATACTAAAAAATCAAGACTTCTTAGAATTATTTCTGTGTCAATTCACAATAATAATCAATTACACTACTTAGAAGACAAATTATCCACACTTTCAAATGACTTGGTATGAACTTATGATCAGATAGTATGCGCAGTTTAATTATACAATTGGTTGATTTTACCAAGAAATTTTGTTCTGTATAGGAAATGTTGTGTAAATTGATTAGGCGTTTTGTTTTCCCAAAAATAAAGTGTCTGTATTTTGAGGTCTACATTTTTATACTCAAATATATTTTTTTAAGAGTTTTTCCTTTTGTCGATACCAATAATAATTGTGATGACATAAAACTAAATCGTCAATAGGCTTAGGAGATGTAGCTGGTATCATTTAAGTGTTTCTTTAAGTCTCAAACACTTTATAAGCGATTTAAGATAGTTTTTGTTAGTTCAATAAGAATACCCAGAAATGCCTAGAATTGAGTTCGCATTTCCCTGTTTGTATTTAAAGCCGAAACTTTAAGCCAAAACTCCAAAAATTGTACATTTATTTAAAAACGTGTAAGTTATAAGCAGGAACACATATGATCTAAAATTCCTTGGCCAATAAAACTTCCATACTATCACTATATCCCCGTGTTAGCCAATTTACAGAGCTAAGTTACCTCAATTAAATTGAGGCTTATATCCGAAAAGCGAAAAAGAGTAAACAACACTGTCACTTAATTTAATCACATTTATAAAAACCACTAATTGACTTTTGAACGTTAATGCCTGAGCACCATTGAAAACGCCAGGATACAGACCCACATAATCGTATGGTCGTATGGAGCGGGTATGCCAGAAACTGGGGACGGAAAATATAAATATGCCATATACTAATTGGTATTTCTGATATGCCTACAACAAATTGTTCGGAGAACTCTGATGCTCGCCGTTCCCCTCGCAATTCCCCGTCGTTGTTTGGGCTAATTAAATTATAATTTCCCGCAAAATGGTGGTCCGCGGTAAGAATGCAAAAATATAGATAAATTTATGATCCTATATGCGTTTTTTTTGCTAAAAAATACATTTTAAAATATTTTACCAAGCATTTTGGTATAGTCTACGCAGCCAAAAAGTTTGAAATAAAACAATTTTACCCCAAAATTACAAATTTTACAAAATTTAAATCTTTTTTGTTAGAAATAATTAGATCTCTAGCTTACGCTTAGTTTGTTTAATTTTAAGAAATAAAATTGAGGAAAAGGTATTTATATTCAAAAATTTTTGAGACAATACAAATAGAAATTCGTTTTTATAAAATCAATCAATACTTTAAATAAATTGCTCCAGCTGACAATAGTTGTTGAATTTACCGAAAAGTGACTGTCTACCAGTAAATGTTACATATTTCTATTACCATTTTAGCCACAATTTTCAGATAAATAGTGAAGAGGACCACTAAATCTTGCTAGAAATGTGTGCTTAAAAGTGTGTTTTGCTATATATGTTCCAGACATATGGGAACTACATATAAATACTCTAAAAAAGAGGAGGTTAACTTACTATTAAATTGTTGTTATAATTGCAAGGGGCAAGAGTTCGTTTCTGGTTTAATTTCCTTACAGTGCTCTCTTTAATTTTAAGCTGAGGCGGACATACACATTTTTTTATTCGCACCTATTTACATACCCGTGACCCAATTGCCCCCCACAAATTTGGGAATCTTATGCTTGGCGTCAGCAACCGGGACATAATTAACCCTTATTTGTACATTTTACGGCCGCCACCATAAAAGGGCCATTTAAATTACAAAGCGCAATGCTTGGCCATTTCGCGGGCCAACGGAGTCGTTTGTTAATCGTCGGCTTTCAGTTTCGTCCTGGTTCCTTGTTCCTGGGTCCCGAAACTGCGATGACCTGAGCTGGAATGTTGGTGTGTTGAGTGGCTTTTAACTTTAAGGCGAAATCGGAAGAAGAACGCCTTAAAGCAGCTTACAATTTGGGCGGTTTGCGGGCAAGCGGCTTAACTCGCATAATCCGAGTATCTGAACCGAGCGCAAGCAAACACTTGACCCTTTCACTGCAGCTGCCATTTCCATTCTATTCGATTTTATGTCGGTCCCGAGGGGTCAGTGAGTTGGCCATGCTTGTCATCGAAGTGGCTGAGAATAGAGCAAGAAGCTTTCGAGGTCATAAAAATGCAAAAGCTAGGTAAACCAGTTTCAGCCCTTGTGGGTTTCTCAATATACAATATACACTAGAACCAGAAGCGATGCGATTGTAGTTGGTCTTTTCAGTTAAGGGGTGACTGACTGACGAATCCTTTTCCAGCCACCCATTATACGAACGTGTTTTTCGATCCTTTCGTTGGATGAGCACTTATAATTTCCAAACTGTTCAAGCATTCTCCATATAGAGGTACTCAGCATTTTCACCGAATGTATCACCAACCTTGTGCAGTGGCAACATCGCAAGCTATGAAGTCCTAACTGAGCTGCGATTATTGCTAGTTGAAAACTAAAACCAATATCTCGCCCAGCGTGAGGATCTACGATCTTCTACACTGAGGCAATTTTTTAAGCCCCTCACGGGGCTAACTTAACAATACATTTTCATCATTTCAAATTACACAGTTCAACGTAGAAAATCGAAATGCAAATTTGACTTTGGATTCTGAGTGTCCTTCATTCAAACTAACTAAAGCGTAATTGGATTTCTTTGGCTTAGCTCAAGTTTTGATGTTCTGACGATTAAAACATTTTGAGTAACATTTTAATATATAGGTATAGACGTTGATATCTCTTATTTATCTCCCATTAACACCCAAAAAAGCAAAATTAAAGAAAATTAAAAACAGTGAATGCCAAAATGTTGTCTTAATTGGGGAAAACACATTATGGTATTAACATATAATAAATATCAAATTGATTTTTTCAGACATTGCTAAATTTTAAACAGACTGGGAAAGTGTTTTAAATAGGTTTTTTCCTTTTTGTTTGGTGCATACCTATAATATAAAAAGGAAATATAAGCTAGTTTCGATAAGTGCTATCGAAATCTGAAAACAAAAATGCAGCTTCAAAATTAAAAGAGATGTATTCAAAAAGTATGCTATAAAAATTATATGCTAAACATTTACTTCTGTAAAAGCGGGAGCAGATGAAACATCGGTAAAATAAAGATGATTCAATAACTAAAAAATATTTCCGTAATTGAAAAAAAATACACCAAAGTTTAAAAAAAATAGTGCTTAGCTTACAAAAAATACATGAACTTCTTAACATATTTTATATTCGAAAATTGTTGCCCTTGACGTTTTTTAACGGCTACTTTATTTTTTTAATGGCGAACGTAAAAGTACGCATTTATATTTATTTTTATACCCCTGCAGAGGGTATTATAATTTCAGTCAACGCAGTGAAGGAGACATTTCCGACCCTATAAAGTATATATATTCTTGATCAGCACCACCAGTAGAGTCGATCTAGCCATGTCCGTCTGAAACTTTCCCAAAAGTTGTATTTCTATTGCAGCTAGTATATAGGTCGGAACAAGCCGGATCGGGCGACTATATCATTTAGCTCCCATCGAAACAATCGGAAAAAAAAATTCAAAAAAAATTATTACTTTGCTTCCTTTGTTCTTTGGAATTCGGTCTTATTTAAATAGTATGGAATTACGATTTTAATTAAATTAAAATCGAACATCTATATCATATAGCTCCCATAAAAGAATCAAAAAATTAAAAAATATTAATAAAAAAAAATTATTTTGGTGTTTTTCTATTTATAAAAATATTCCTTTGAGATTTAGTAATTATTTACTATCTCAGAATTCCGCTTTTAGTTTTGTCAAAATCGAAACCACAATATCATATACCTGCCATAGAAATGATGGCAAAGTGCATCGCAAAATCGACATTGTTTTTAGTAATATAGGCATATAAATTAGTCGATTTATTATAACTGCAAGGGTATATAAGCTTCGGCTTGCCGAAGTTTGCGTCCTTTCTTGTTATATTTTTTTTTGTAGCAGCTGCAACTTTTGTTGAGCATGTTTTTTAGGTGTCCGTTACTTCTCTTTTCCCTGTTCTTCTATACATTACCACTGATACATTTAACTAGTTCAACAGGTAATTATTGTGTTTGATCCTCCGGCGAGTGAAAGAATAAAATTGTAGTCTTGTATTTATTTTTCTAATTCATCACAAATATAAGAATTAAGATTAAATCAACGTCAGATAAAATTTGTGTAGCATATTTTATTGCTAATGTTTTTTTTTCAATCTTTAAATCTGTCAGTTTTTGAATTCTTATTATTTTTAAAAGAAGTTACGGCTTTAAACAAAAAATAAACCATATAAATGAAGTGCAATTTGTATATTTAATCATCAACATTATTTAGTGTTGAGATATAAAAGCGCATTTACACAGAGGGCATTTACAGAATCAGAAGAGCCATAGACAAATGGGTACGAGCCCATCTGATTTAAATTTTCCTTATTCTATGCTAAATTATTTTTCGCTAAATGTACGTAAGCCTTTCTACTCCACTAGTAAGCGACCTACTGGTCTTTTTTTCTTCTTCACACTCGATGCACTCGAAATCTGCTCCAGCGATGAGTAACCCGTCGAAGTTGAATCGCGGCTCTGGCGATAGGTGTGCAGCGGCTTTTTGGTCAACCAAAATCGAATGACAAAGTAAGACTCTGCCCTCAGAGCAAGCATTGGATGAATCTAAAATGTATTTAGTATATAAATATGAGATGAATAAATGCATATATTTGTGTGGAAGAGGTCCACTTAGAAAACCCCATAAAAACAAAATATCCCACAAATATATAAAACAACTAAACATTTTAGATCCTTTCTAAGTTAAATTTTTCTGCAATGTGGGTCATTTTGTTTTCTGGGTGTAGTATGTATATACCTTCTCCTTCACTGCTATGCGCTGCACGTGCCACAAAAACTCTGCGACGCCAATCACAATTGCTATAACCACGCCCACGATAAGCACCACAAACAGGCCGGCCACTGAATCCATATCAAGCTTGGCATCATTGCCATTCGAGGCACCCAAGTCACATTTGGTGGTGTTGTCGTTGAACCAATTGTTGCGGAGTTTGTACAGAACGCCCTGCTCGCTGAGCTTGAGGATTCCCACGCTGAGATTGGAACGGAAGTTAGCATCTGCCGGAAAATGTTTCCCATTAAATAGAAGATTTAGTTTTATCTAATATATCATTAACATTTTCATTGCTTTACTACTAGCTGTTTTTATACCCTTGCAGAGGGTATTATAATTTTGGTCAAAAGTGTGCAACGCAGTGAAGGAGACATCTCCGACCCTATAAAGTATATATATTCTTGATCAGGGTCGCGTCCTGAGTTGATGTAAGCATGTCCGTCTGTATGCCCGTCTGTCTGTATCTACGCGAACTAGTCTCTCAGTTTTAAAGATATCGAATTGAAACTTTGCACACCGGAAGTTGCGATTTTTTATGAGTATTAAGAATGCATCATATGAATAATTTTGGAGAATGTAATTTACAAAATATTCTGCAAGGGTATATCAACTTCAGCTCCGCCCGAAGTTAGCTTCGCGATCCTGATCAAGAATATATACACTTTATAGGGTCGGAGATGTTTCCTTCACTGCGTTGCAAACTTTTGACCAAAATTATAATACCCTCTGCAGGGTATAAAAACCTCAACGAAAAAAATTTTAACTTTTGATTCTTTCTTTTTGGCTTAAATAATTTAGAAAGGCAAAATAAAAAGCTACGAAAAATATTAATTTTTATTATTTATTATTTTAAATAAAAAACTAAAAATATATTTTTATTAAATTAATGGGCGTTTTAGGATATTTGTAACTCAGGCTGAGGGGCCTACCGATTTCAAAGCTGATGATCTAGATTAGCTTTCCTTATGTAGAAGCTTTATCGCTTCTTTTATGTGTGTAGGCATGATGGGGACTCTACAAAAACACCTCAAAGTCAAAAGAGACACACTGTCTTTCGGTTTAATAATTATTCAGAATAGGGTCTTAAAAGTGATTTCAAAACCTTGTGATTTCTGAGTGTTGAATCACATAGGATCCATTAATAACGAGAACGGATTCTGTGCTTGTTTAAAGAAACATTTACTCGAACCCTAATGATACTCTACATATAACTAAGAATGGAACTGACATCAGCAAAAGGATTTAAAGTTTGTATTTTAGCATTCCTCTCATGGTTATTAAGCTTGTGTTATAAAAGAAATGAAAATATAACCAACTAAAATGAAATTTCAATTAATATCAAAAGGTCATTAAAAACCAACTCAAAAATTATATTTCAGAGTAATTTTCGAAACTAGCAACCGTTTAAAGCTGAAATCAAATTAAGGAGTCGGCTCCACTTACTCAGTGGGACTGCTATTCCGTAGTGCTTCTCTCCAAAACTCTCCCCGATCTGGGTAAGCTCGCAGTCTCGCTGGACGTAGTATTGCAGACTGGTCGTCTCCATCAGGAAATTGTAGCCTCCCTTGCTCAGCTTGACGCGGTCCACCCCCTCCTCGTTGTTCTTGGTGAAGGCGTCCGGCTTGAAGGACAGCATCTTGTTCCACGCCATCCGGTTTTCAGTGTCGTTCGATTCAGAAAAGTACACCGATGTGGCGCCACCGTGGATGGTGCCAAACTGAACCTTGTTCTGGTCAACGAGATCGTGCATGGAGCCGATATTTCCAGCGATCTTCGCAGAGGTGATAAACGCAGCCAACTTGGCAATGTAGGTCTGGGAGATGAGCAGGGCAAAGATCCACCAGAAGGCGGTCAGCAAACGCATGGGAAGACCCCTAATGATAAATAAGCATGCTTGAGTATAAATACTGTAAATACTAAGATTATAACTATATTACAATTAACAAAATAGCTAAAGTTAACTGGACAGAAGACCAAAAAAAAGACATAGAATGGAAACTATCAATAGGATGAATATTAAATAAATATCTTCGATAGAACTAAAATAAAACTTTTCTATTTATCAAAATATTTCTTTGAGATATAGTAATTATCTACTATATCAGAAGTACGCTTTTAGTTTTGTGAAATCAGACAACAATATAATTTAGATCCCATAGAAAAGATGTCAAAAATCGACATTGCTTTACTTTAAATACCCTTGCAGAGGGTATTATAATTTTGGTCGAAAGTTTCTAACGCAGTGAAAGAGACATCTCCGACCCTATAAAGTATATATATTCTTGATCAGGATCGCCTCCTGAGTTGATATAAGCATGTCCGTCTGTCTGTTTCTACACAAACTAGTCTCTCAGTTTTAAAGATATTGAATTGAAACTTTGCACACACCGTTCGTTCCCCTGCACGCAGTATATAAGTCGGAACGGCCGGGATCGGACGACTATATCCTATAGCTGCCATATAAATGATTGATCGGAAATGCCATAACTTTTGTGTTTGTAAAGTTAGGAAGTTGGGATTTTCTACGGGTTTAATTTTTGATCAATCAATCCGACCTACCATTTCATAAGCATCGGCCGACTATATCCTATATAATTACTTCTATGACCGTTATTGCCCGTTACTGTTACTAACTTCCATTATAAAAAAAGCTAAAAAGGATAGATATGTCAAATTCAAATGAAGTATAAGTGTTAAGAATGCATCATATGAATAATTTTGGAGAATATAATTTACAGAATATTCTGCAAGGGTATATCAACTTCGGCTCCGCCCGAAGTTAGCTTTCCTTTCTTGTTTGTTGGTACTACAGGCATAGAAATCGAAATGTAGTCGCTTTGTAATAACTGAAAGGGTAAATAAACTTCGATTTTTTGAAGACTGCTTCCTTATTTTCTTCTTGTCTTAAAATTAAAATCGGAGTTTCGATTATTGTCCATGGTGTGAAAGAAGCTTGTAATGTTTAACACAGTGTAATTCGAGAAATTCGAAGTAAAAATCGAAAACTATTATTTCCTTAATGCTAACGATCTGAATTTAATAAAATTACATAATAATATTTAATAAAATGCATTAAGTCCAATATCAACTACTTGCCTTGGTAAAAGATCGCAGCCTTGATTGAGGATCGATCCCAAGACCAGCCACATAGTGTTGTTCAAATGCCAGATGTTCTCTCGCTCCAGTTCCTGGTCCCCATTTTCCACCGGCGGCTCCCACTCGAATTGATCCATGCGACCGGTAAGAATCAAGGCCAAGCCAGTGATCATCATGGCAATCATCACATATAGCCACACTTCGACTCCATACGGATTAAGGAAGGCGTAAATATTTGCCTTCGGTGGGGGCTCCTTGTATGACAGAATGCTTATGCCCAGCTGCATAAAGGGAACCGTGAAGTCCACCACCGAACGACGCGCCTGGGTAATGGTCAAGTCACATATTCCGATTTGCGCATTCTAAGGTAAAATAAAACAAATCTTGGCGTTAAATTAAATGCTTAAATTACTTTGAACCCAGCTTGTTTACGAAAGATATTATACACACCTTAAGGCAAAAGTTAGCAACCGCTTAATATTATTTCAAAGCTGACTGGATGAAACTTGCCAATACTAAACTGGTTAATTAATTCTGTTATAACTGAAACAGGTCTTGTGAAAGAGGAAAGTTTCATCCAGAAAGCTTTAAAACTGAAAACAAATTAATCGAATATGTCATAAAACTTACTTTTAGCTTTTATTTCTTGTCTTATTATTTTAGGAATACTCACATTGTCTATCAATTGTCGGATAATACCATCCCACTCATCTGTGGCAGCATCGTAACTTCCATATTTATTATCCCTGACGGGTTCAAAGATGAAATCAAATTTGCATTGCCTGGACAACGCGTACATTAAATCTACGGCGTAACCTTCGAAACGTTCATTTCCCTCGTAGTGAACTCCTTCGGGTTCCGGACTAGAAGACAAATTTTTAGCTTAGGTTTTTTAGTTACATAATACTATGAACTAACCGCCAACTGAAGTAGGGTTTGCCCACCCGAGTGGCCACTGTATATCGGACGGGCTTTTGGGAGAAGTCCTCTTTGTCGTCAAGGCGTCTCTGTTTGACGGCCTGAGTCGAGTTCTCCCTGATTGATTTATAGTCCACAAGCTGGAACTCCTTGTTCCAGATATGAGATACGCGATCGACGAGGGGGTTGTAGACTTCAAGGTTAAAATCATCGCGCTGACCATCACTATTTATCTGGAGCCTTTGGGTTTTGAAGGGGGGCTTGACATTCTTTGGAGAAAGCTGAAAAAAATGTTATTACAAAATTTGAGTTTCGGTATTATCCAACAAAAGCACCAAAATCCAACAAAAATAATGGCAGGATCTTGAAAAGATAAGACTGGCAAACGAAACGATACACAAATACTCATTAAAGTCGAAGCGTATTTCGCATAGGGATCTGAATAAATTTAAGAGTCACTGCCCAAGCGTGAATTTTCTATAGTTACCTATTTACATTCAACACAATTATTTCTGAACCAATCGACTTTTGAAAGGTCTTAGAATCAAAATTCAAAGAGCTAATAAAAAATATCAAAATATCGATCAATATACAATAGGTTAAGTCGGACTACCGTATAGCGATTTTTCAGCACACTCTGGTGTGATTCGTCACTAAAATGCGACCAAGTCATAATAGACTGTGGGCCCTATTCAGTTCTGGCCATCAAAAGACTTCCTTTTAACACAATGTACTTTAAAATACCTATGCCCATTGTAATTACTTCTTTGAGATAAAATTTGTAAATATTGTACCAAAATTTTATTTTCTATCATATATAATGAATAACTAAAGGTATTTTTGCCACGTCTCAAAAGTGAGAAAATTAATAAAAAATGGTGCTCCCCGCCATGATTGCCTGTAGCTTATAGTTGTTTGCTTTCCAGCTCTGTATTAAGAACAAGGGAGCATATTCTTCTTCCGATTTCGTTTTGGAATGCCGTGTTATTTGCAGACGAGTCAAAATGTAACCTTTTTGGTTTAATATGTTTGGCGGCAACCTAATACAGAGCTCGAAAACAAACTCTTAAAAGCTACAGTCAACCATGGCGGTGATCATCTTATGGTTTGGGCCTGTATGGCAGCTTCTGGCGGGGCAACCTCGTTTTTTTTTTGAAGTTATCATGGATGGCCAAGATGTACCTACAGATTTTAAAGGAATACCTAATCCAAACTGCAGAAAAACTGGGCATACGCTATCGATTTCGATTTTACCAGGACAACGATCCGAATCATTCATCAGGAATTGTGAAGGTTTAACTTGTCTGGAACTGCCCTCATGTCGTCATAACGCCAGCACAGTCTCCAGATTTAAATGTGATCTAAAATTTTTGGGAAATATGGGACATCGCTATAAGGAAGAGGAAGATTTCGAACAAAACGACATGAAAAGTGTTCTTATGGAAGAATGGCCAAAAATTCCAGTGGAAACCACTAAAAAGTTAGTTTCTTCCTTGGGAAATCGTCTCAAAGCTGTCCTGAACCAGAAAGGAGGACATACCAAATATTAGCTTTTAAATTACAAATAATAAGTTAAGAAGAATGAACTGCACGAAATAAGCTGCGGCATGAAAAAAGCCTGAACATTTTGTTTTTATTTAATAAGTATTTTGTTTTTACGGGGAAGGAAATCGTTTTAATTTAATAAACAAGTTAATATTCCCTTTTAAAATACTGCATTTAAATTTTTCTGTTATCTTTCTTAGTTTAGCAGGAATAATGACTTGAACTTTTTTTAGGTAACTGCACGAAATAAGCTGCGATCCACTGTATATGAAGTAACTTTAATATCTTACTTATTGCATTCGACCTCTTTTAGCAAATGGATAGATTGCTGTACAAGTACAGTGGAAAAACACTGGAAATAGAATTCTTTAAAAAAAATCTATGAATAATTCAAAAGCAAATTCCAATTCCGATTTCGAGCGACTTTCGTTTTAGTTTTTGATAAATCAGAAATAATGTAGCAGGATTGCTACCTATTAGTATGTACATACATACATATGTACATACAGTGACAAACTTAATTATTGGCACAGCAAGCATGTTAAACTTTGAGGCTATTTTTCTTCTTATAATATGCTGATATTAAAATAAAACAAAATATTTTTAGATAGAATCATTAATATTATGTTAAATACAAGTGGCTTCATTAATTTATCTTTTATAAATAATTTATTAAAAATAAAAAACCAAAGAATGGACCAAATTTGCCGGAACAAAATTATTGGCACACTTGGGTTTTAATTAACTATTTTGTTAAAACTTTATCGATTTGGCCCCTTTTTTTTTATCACATTTGCCTCTATAATCTTAATGGTATAATGATAAATTTTATAGCTAAAATTGTTTTAGTGCCTTAAAATAAAGGAAAAGTTGTTTGACTTTACAAGGTAAAAATAAAATCAACCGCATGTGTCCAAAAATTAAAATTTAATAAGCAGGATCAATGCAAATCGAAAGTCAACATTGGGGAAAGGATGCCCAGAAGCCATTTTTCCCATTCGGAGTCCTTTGCTACATTTTAAAGGACCCACGCAGTTGCAAAATGCAGGGCACACTGGCTAATCCATGGCTTTGAGAGGCCAGGAAAGCGTAAGGATCGTATAAAAGGACAATGTCAACCCCCAGATCTTCTCAACACGTATCGAAGTTGATGATTAGGAGGACTTTGGTAAGGATATTCACCCAACAGCCTTTTTTTAGGCCCTGCATGATGGTTTCTACAAACGAATTGAACATAGAAAAAATCTATAGATTTTAAAAGTCAAAAACAACCTTTTAGTGCAGCGAAATTTATATCTGAGTATGCCAATCGACTTTTGGGTCCTTTCAACCTTCTCGTATGATTTAATTATCCTTTCCCCAAGCAAAGAGCTTATGTTAGAACCCTTTTCAAGCCGATGGATTTTTTCTAGGAGCAATTCGTTTGTAGAAACCATCATGCAGGGCCTAAAAAAGGCTGTTGGGTGAATATCCTTACCAAAGTCCTTCTTATCATCAACTTCGATACGTGTTGAGGAGATCTGGGGGTTGACATTGTCCTTTTATACGATCCTTACGCTTTCCTGGCCTCTCAAAGCCATGGATTAGCCAGTGTGCCCTGCATTTTGCAACTGCGTGGGTCCTTTAAAATGTAGCAAAGGACTCCGAATGGGAAAAATGGCTTCTGGGCATCCTTTCCCCAATGTTGACTTTCGATTTGCATTGATCCTGCTTATTAAATTTTAATTTTTGGACACATGCGGTTGATTTTATTTTTACCTTGTAAAGTCAAACAACTTTTCCTTTATTTTAAGGCACTAAAACAATTTTAGCTATAAAATTTATCATTATACCATTAAGATTATAGAGGCAAATGTGATAATTAAAAAAAAAGGGGCCAAATCGATAAAGTTTTAACAAAATAGTTAATTAAAACCCAAGTGTGCCAATAATTTTGTTCAGGCAAATTTGGTCCATTCTTTGGTTTTTTATTTTTAATAAATTATTTATAAAAGATAAATTAATGAAGCCACTTGTATTTAACATAATATTAATGATTCTATCTAAAAATATTTTGTTTTATTTTAATATCAGCATATTATAAGAAGAAAAATAGCCTCAAAGTTTAACATGCTTGCTGTGCCAATAATTAAGTTTGTCACTGTATGTATGTATGTATTCTTGTATATTCTTAGAGTACGTTGTTGTTGTTGTAGAGCTTGCTCACACTGGGCTCTCTCTTTTCATCTCAACGCTATACAACTCTATCAGAGAGTTTGGGGTTGCACTATGGGGAATTTGCCCGATTTTTTGGAATAAATGTATTTTTTAAAAGTATGCCGATTTTCAATTTTTTTGTTTTAATGTATTAAGAAAACATCAAGCTGTTTGGTAACATACCGCAAATGTTAACTTAAAAGTCTAGTATTTAAATACCAACTGTTAAAGTCAGCTGTTGCAAGCGCACATGGTTTGTTTACATTTTGCTTAACTATGAAGCTCATTTTCAAATCATTATCTCTGCAACAAAATGACGTAAGACAGTAAAATTTGAAATGATTACCAATTCTCAAGGTATGTTCTGTGTAAAAATACTTATATATTGCTTAAAATGTGCGTCCAATTTTTAAAATTTGTAAATGTAGCAGGTAATGTTTTCGTTTGGGTTTTGGAAAGAAAGTTAAACTTTCAATAGAGTTTTAAAAAAATGTTTAACTTTGTTCAGTGAGTGTCTATATATATGTTGTAGAGCCATTAATTGCGAATTCAGAACATATTGTCTCATCGTGCGCTTCGTGCGACTTTTCGCGTAATTTCATTTTTTAGAAACCAATCTCTTGATCAAAAACGCAGCCCTGCTGGAAGTTTTGCATAAGCAAATGGGTCTTCGAGAAAAAGAAGATGGCGAATTCACTTTTGTTAGCTAGCTAGTTAATCCCACAGTTGAATCTCGAACTTTACAGATGTTTTTCAGAGAGCCATGGTTACTTCAGACCCCATCATTTCATCATTTTATGACTGAACCATAGAGTAATAATGTATAGAGGCGTCATTTGCTCTGCCGGGCTCATTTGCTCTGCCCGCGCTCTCGAGTGACTTTGCCAGTGATGCCACGTAGGGGAAAAACGGAAAAAAAGAGAGTTTTGCAAATGTTCGAATCGAGCTTCATTCCATGCCCATGGTGAATTCTTATTGCTGCACTGGTCGCTCTTATTCCTAAGGATTGGTGCGAAAACTCCCCATACTATTGCTTGTGCTTCGCACATGTTAGAAGTGGTGAGAAACTGAAGCTTCGAACATGGCTCTCAGCAGAGCTTTGGCAGAGGCCCGGGCAGAGCAAATGAAACCTCTATATAGTTTCTTACTCTATGACTGAACTCGCTCTCCGCTCACGACTCGCACCATAGAGTAAGAAACTATATAGAGGTTTCATTTGCTCTGCCCGCGCTCTCGAGTGACTTTGCCAGTGATGCCACGTAGGGGAAAAACCGAAAAAAAGAGAGTTTTTCATTTGTTCGAATCGAGCTTCATTCCATGCCCATGGTGAATTCTTATTGCTGCACTGGTCGCTCTTATTCCTAAGGATTGGTGCGAAATCTCCCCATACTATTGCTTGTGCTTCGCACATGTTAGAAGTGGTGAGAAACCGAAGTTAGAAGAAGTTAGCTTCGAACATGGCTCTCAGCAGAGCTTTGGCAGAGGCATAGAGTAAGAAACTATATAGAGGTTTCATTTGCTCTGCCCGCGCTCTCGAGTG